CTTACTGCTAGGAGAGGTTTGTTGTGTGTTTATACAGTACTTGTTATCATGAAAGTGTGCTTGCTGGATGAACTGGTAATAGTAATATTACTATCCGTAGACGTTTTTTTATTTTCCTGCTCCGTGAAAGCAGATGGATGCGATTGGTCGTAGCTGACCAACCCCATAGTACCATGTTTACATGGATTTGTTGCAGTTTTACAATTCAGGTATTTTCTTATGTTCCGGCGCCAGTGATATTGTACTAAGCCGGTGTACAAACCTCATGCTACAGATTCAATCAAGTCTTTGCTTTTTGACATTTCATTGCTGCAGTACCGCACTTTCACAATTTCCTTGACCTGTTCGTGCTATATGTAGTGTCATTTCACCATTCAAGATCGAGTTTCGCTTGGGTTCTTACGCTGCAGTTGTTAGTTTTGTTTAGAAGATCTTAGGAGATCTTCATAACACAGCGGCAGCAACATTCCTCGCCAGATATTTGATTTGATTTGATATTTACCGGAAGTATATTCACTACAGGTCTGGTGACTAAGTGGGGTTTATTGCAGGAATTTCGTCATTAATGCATAGTTGACGTTTTGTGTACTAATTTTCCGACAAGGACAGGGAGTTAGAGAAAAGTGTTACTTCAGTATGGCTGCGTTCATACATTGCGGCAGCATCCACCAGCGTCCTACGCCCATCAGCGTTTCGAGCGTCCGTCAGCGCCAGCGACTAGGAAAGTGTAGATATAGATCTAGCCAACGGCAGCGTCTACCAGCATCCACCAACTCTCGAGGGATTAGGGAACTGTAGGTGTCAATCTAGCGAAAACAAGCGTCCAGGAGCACCGTATTGTGTGGTAGTGTGCGGCTGCACACGCCACAGTTTCACGACGCCTGATGCAGCTGTCACTTCCCTCTTAGTTCCTCATACTGTCTACTCCTGGTCGCTGGTGACGGTAGACGCTGGTGTTTGCTAGGTATCCATACATTCGTAGTCCTTCGAGCTGAGTCGATGGCGGACTCTGATAGACGCTGCCGTTTGCTAGATCGATATCTATATCTCGACTGCTGATGGTCGCTAGTCTACGCTGACGTCGCTGGCGGACGCTCTGAACGTTGATGGTCGCTCGTGATCGCTGGTGGATGCAGCCGTAAGGTATGAACGCAGTCTAACACTTTTTATTGCTCAGTGAAGGTAACTGCAGTTCTACGCACGTGGTGGCAATCGAGCCAGGATGAAAATCGTCCAACAATCCGGAAACCCAGTAATCCTCGTTCTGTGACTCGCAGATCTTCGTCTATGCTCTTCTCTAGCCTCCATGTTCTGTATGACAGATATGGGTTGGATTCTAATTGAACCTACCTAGTAAGCAGCGGCACTAAGTCGTCAGGAACTAGCGTTCCTCACTTTCTTTTCTGAACAGCTTTTTCCTACTCTTTCTCGATTTTCTGGGCGCCTTCATCTTGAACTCAGACTATATTAGATCTTTTTCAAGGTTATTAAATGTCGTGCATCGTACCCAGGATTCCTGGCTGAGATGAAAAGAGAGGAGTGCAGGAATAAGTTTATACGTACGGTGAGCTTTTGAGATTGTTCTGTATGGTTTGAAGCCTGTTCCATGGACCTTCTATTTTGGCAGTATGCTTTTCAGTTGGAGGCTCCTCTGAAATCAGCTCGACCGCTGGGAATCGATGTAGAGAAAATTAAAAGCGACGTAACACGGAGAGTAGAGGAATCTCAAGATTTAACAGAGATGAAGAGAACTTTGGAGGAACGAGCAATGCAGGTATCACTTTCTGACTATCTTCGACTTTCTTTCTTTCAAGGTCTATGATGTCGAAATCACTCCGCCGTATTCTTCCCCAGTTTGAAATAATCTGAAAATATTTTTGATAAAAATTTAG